GCTGCACTTCTTGTAAGTCGGGTGAGATGGCCGGGTGGGCCAGGTATTTGAGGCGGACACCGTGGCTGAGGTCGGACTGGTCTGCGGAGGCCAACTGAGCCATCTCATCTGCCTTGGAGTTTTCCGCCCGAGGTATGTGCTTGATGTGGAAGGTATTGAAGAGGCGAACAAGAGGGAGGGCTATATCCCTGTAAGTTCGCATTGTGTCTTCCTTGGCATCGAATTCTCTCGTAATCTGGCCGACAATGAGCTGGGAGTCGCTGAACACCTGGATGTGGCTGACTCCAATGTCCTTGGCGAGGCGGAGTCCTGCTATCAATGCCTCATATTCGGCCTCATTGTTACTGGCATTAAACAAGAAGCGGAGAGCACATTTGAAATAGCCGCCCTCAGGGGCGGTGAAAATGAGGCTAGCCCCACTACTATCCCTGCGGGATGATCCGTCCACGTTGAGAGTCCATGAATGCGGGTCTTTTGGCTCGGTAGGGGTTGGTGGGGGTGGGGGCGCAGCGGTTGGGGTAGGATTAGTGAATTCCAGGATGAAATCCGCGACAGCCTCGACAGCCTGTCCCTTAATTGCTGTTCGAGGCCGGTAGGAGATGTCAAACTGACTGAGTTCCACTGACCACTGCATGAGTCTGCCGGAAAGTTTTGGTTGTTGCATGACCTTCTTCAAGGGTTGGTCAGTGAGAACCACTATGGAATGGGCCTGAAAGTAAGGACGGAGCCGTCTGGAGGCGGTGACCAAAGCCAAGGATAGTTTTTTTAACAGCGGGTAATTCTGCTCTTCTCCCCTGAGAGCCCGACTGATGTAGTAGACTGGCCGTTGGACAGAGTCGTCTTCTCTGATAAGAGCTGCACTGACTGCGGTGCTTGAGATGGCTAAATAGAGGAAGAGAGGCTCGCCTGTAATTGCTTGTGAAAGGAAGGGAGATTTGCCATGAACTGCTTCAACTGCTGAAAAGCTTCTTCAGATTCAGTTGTCCATTCAAAAGTTTGCCGAGGAACTTTGAAGAATGGTAGGCACTTATCTGTTGCGCGGGAAATGAAGCGGTTGAGGGCCGCCACTCGGCCAGTGAGCCTTTGAACCTCCTTAACCGTTCTGGGTGACTGTATCTCAATCAAGGCCTTAATCTTTTCAGGGTTAGCTTCAATGCCCCGCTGACTGACCATAAAATCCAGAAACTTCCCAGATCCTACGCCGAAGGCGCACTTCTCTGGGTTGAGCTTCATTTGGTACTTGCGTAGGGTGGTGAAGGTCTCTCGCAGGTCGGATAGATGATCAATAGAGAGTTTGCTCTTGACTAGCATGTCGTCGACATAGACTTCCATATTCCGACCTATCTGATGATGGAAAACGGCATTGACCAACCGTTGGTAGGTGGCCCCAGCATTCTTCAGTCCGAATGGCATCACGCGGTAGTGGTAGGTACCTTGGTCGATAATGAAGGATGTATGTTCCCGATCGGACGGGTGCATCAGGATTTGGTTATACCCAGAGAAAGTATCCATGAAGCTGAGCATTCGATGACCGGCCGTGGCGTCGACCAGCAGATTTATGCGGGGAAGAGGATAGCTGTCTTTGGACAAGCTCGATTTAGGTCAGAGTAATCGACACAAAGTCGCCATTTGCCATTGTTCTTGCGGACTAGGACCACGTTTGACAACCATTTAGGGTAATCCACGTTTTTGATGAATTGGGCCTCAAGGAGCTTGTCAATTTCTGCGGCTATAAGTGTATTGCGCTCTGGATGAAAGATGCGCTGCTTCTGGCGGTAAGGTCGGAAATGGGGTTCGATGCTGAGGCGGTGAGTTATGAAAGAGGGGTCGATGCCCGGCATGTCTGAATGGGTCCAGGCAAATACATTGTTGTGCTCGGTCAGGAGGGCGGCAATGTCAGCCTTAGCTTGGGGGGATAGTTGGCTGCCGATCTTGGCAATTTTCATTGGGTTGGTGGAATCGATGGGAATCTCAACGAGTTCCTCGACCGGTTCTCCTCTGACCAGCTTGTCCTCATCTCGCTCCTTCAACTTGACTTCCTTGAGTGAGGGGACATAACATTCCCTGGCTATGGTCTGCTCTCCCCTTACTGTCTCGACGCCCAGGTCGGTAGGGAACTTTATGGCGAGGTGGTAGGTTGAAGTGATAGCTTGGAAAGCGTTGAGGGCGGTGCGGCCAAGGATGATGTTGTAGGCAGAGGGACAGTCGACCACAAAGAAAGTGAGCAACTTGGTAGTCTGCCGTGGGTATTCGCCGATGGTGATGGGGAGATCGATGGAGCCGATGGAGGTCACCCGGTCGCCAGTGAAACCGACCAAAGGGGTTTGGAGGGGAGACAGACCTTCCTTTCTAATTTTGAGCTGGCGGAAGCAGTTGAAGAATATGATGTCTGAAGAACTGCCGTTGTCGATGAGAACTTGTCTGACCTTATAGTTGGAGAGGAGGGCAGAGATAACGAGAAGGTCATCATGAGGATAATGGATGCCTGTGCAGTCAGCGTCCGTGAAGGTGATGGGTTCTATCCACTGCTTGGACTATTTGGAGGGTCGGTCTATCGTGGCAACTGCTTTGTCTGAGCCTTGCCTTATCTTTCTGAGTTCTGCCCTCTAAGCCGAGCAGGATGGTCCCCCACAAGCAAGGCCACCTGAAATGACTCGGATTTCACCAACTGGCAGAGGGGGATTACTTGGCGGCCGAGGCTGTTGTGGAGGGTGACCATGGCCTTGGTTTGGTTGTGCTGGCTGTCGGGGTGGGGTGCGCCGGCGGTTGTTTCGGAGGGGCTCGGTTCTTTGCCTCTGCTGTGGGCGGGTGTCCGTGAACCGGCTAAGACGCCCTTGACGTATTAGGGTCTCGACCTAATCCTTGAGGTTGATGCAGTCATTAGTGTTATGGCCACAGTCCTGGTGGAAACGACAATATTTGGACTGGTCTTTCCGATTGGAAGGGGTCCGCAAAGGTAGGGGCCATTTGAGGGGGTAGTCCTGTTGGATCTGGTTGAGAACTTGTTCTATGGGAGAATTAAGGGGGGTGTATCGGTCGAACCGACCGGGCGGTCGGGCTGGTGCCTACCGGTCAGGGCGGGGGGGTCGGTCTGTATAGTGGGGTGTTTGGCTATTATACTGGGTGTTTCTGGGTTTTGAGTCTTTTCTCTTTTCTTTAGGGGTCAGGTTTTTAGCCATTGGATCCTGCCAGGCGGCTAGTGAATCTTCAGCATTCATGTATTTCTGGACCTTGGAGAGTAGGGCTGCCATGGAGGTCGGGAGATTTTTGGAGAGGGAGAAGAGAAAATCGGACGATCGTAGCCTGGCCATGAAAGCCGTGAGGATGACCTTGTCATCATTTTCCGCTACTTGCAGGGCTTCAGTGTTGAAGCGGGTAACGAAATTGCGCAGCGACTCCCCCTCGGTCTGACGGATATTGAGGAGTTGGGTTGCCGGGCGGCGTTGGCGCTGGGCTCCAATGAAATAGCTAAGGAAGGAGTCGCTGAGATGCTGGAAAGTGGAGACAGAGTCTGCGGGTAGCTGGCTGAACCACAGTCGAGCTGACCCCTTTAGTGTCACGGGGAAAGCCCGACACATGATCTCGTTAGGGAAGGCATGGAGGATCATGAGGGTACGGTAGGTCTCCAGATGGTCGACTAGTCCATTGTACCGTCAAAAGAGTCAATGGTGGGCATCTTGAACTTGGCGGGCAGAGGTTTGTCGCAGATGGAGGCAACAAATGGTGAGTTTGCCGTGGTAAAGGGTTCATGCTGAATGTTCTGCATGACCCCTTGGAGTTGGAGCTTCATTGCTCGGAGTTCAACGTCCTAGAGGGGAACGTGGTCACCATGGTCAGTCAATAGGGGCTGGACGCTGCTGGCTTCCCCTTCAGGAACTGGTGCCACGACCGACGGGTGTGAGGGTGGAGGTGGTAGATTTATATGTGGGGGAGGGGGTTGCAAACCTTCTAAGTTGGGTGGATGGGGTTGCAGAACAGTATGGCTCGGGGCTCTTTCTTGGTTGGGTGGAATATCTGGAGGTGGTGGAGGAGGCATCGAAAGGTTTCTTTGGAGTAAAGCATTTATCAGGGCCTGGTTTTGCTCGGCCATGCGGTTAATGCTGTTGGTAAGTTTGATAAAATACTGCGGTGGGTTGTTTGGATTGGGGGGGTCGGCTTGATGGTCGGCAGCATTATTGTGAGAAGCCATGGATCTAGTCGTGACCATACACTTTGACGGGTAGGAGGAAAAGGTTGTTGGAATGGGGTCTCTGGTGACAGTGAACACAACTGGCGTGATGAGCAAAACGTTTCCCACAGACGGCGCCAACTGATGATACAGTTCGTTCCAGTGGATGGATCAGACAGGTCTAAGCTCCTCAGGCCCATGTCCAAATGATCAAGCCCACCGAAAAACCTACAAACGAGTTCAACGAGGAATGGGATAGTCCCCTAGTGAACCCTCTGACGAGCAAGTTAGGAAGAGAAGTAGAGTATAGAGGGAGAGATTAGAGATAAAAAAGCTTAACCTTCTTCTTACCTTCAACGTTTGCTTATATCCTTTGGTAATCATTTCACTGTCCCTTCCGACCTGCTCTCCTCGCCGAAAGTCTATGCTGTAGCTTACCTGGTTCAGGGTAAGGGGGTCCTGTTCCGACGGAGATGTGTTGTCGTAATAAATGTTGTGATGGGCTGCATTAACGGTGATGTGCAGTGGTAATAACTTTGCAGATCTTTGTCTGCTGATGTGGCTCGTCCTTCACCTGCCGTGTGTTTGAATGTCATTGGCTCTTTATGCCATGTTGGACTCTAGCTATCTTGGATCTCACCAGCTGGGTTATGCATTGGGCTCCAAGCGATGGGCTTGGATTGTTCATAGTGATTCGTGGCCTTTGTGGGCTTATACACGTCACTTTCTATCTATCACCTCAATTTCAATTTCAAAAAATATAGAATGCAATAGTGAAGGCTTTCAATTTCAATTTTCATGTGTCATGCCTATTTTACTTGACAATAATTACCTCCAAGTGTTGGATCATTGGCTTCTTATCAGCATCGTGAACCTTCTTCCATCTACGAACGCTCAAGTCTGGTAATTGCGTTCGAACCTCTATGCCAATTTTGGAGGCCAACTTAAAGGCTTGATCTCCTACTGGTGCACAGAACTGTTCAGGTACATGAACCAACATCTTTCCATCTTTCTCGAAAATGCGTTGGGTTTGTATGCCGCATGTTGGACCACGACCACGTCTGTCATATGATACTGTAAGGACATAATATTAATTGAGTTAGTAAGTAAACAAATGCAAGTTAGACCTTAAATTGAATATAAATAACTTTGCAAACTTACCAACACTGCTAGATGCAGTCACCTCATGCTCAGGTTGCACATTATGAGGTGGTAAGGGTTGGGTACCAATCTCTTGACCTGGGGGATCCATCCCTTCTTTTGGAGTGGGAGTTAATGGCCCCAAATGAGACTGTAAACGAAACCCCGGTGGCATCTCTTGTTCCTAAAATAACATAATCGAATAGTAAAGAAGATATTTAACACAGTTAAAATATATTTTAAAAAAGATATGATGTTTAAGATATATGAAGAAGATATTTAAATAGTAAAAGACATGTTCACATACAAATATAAAATAATGTATATAATACCTTGCGGTAAAAGGAACCCAATGACTCATTATCACTATCGTTCTCACTCTTTAACGGTTTATACTCATCATCATCATCATCTACCTCAACCCTAATTCCGTTTTCCTTTGCATTTGCACATTTGGGCTGAACCACACTCATCAAAGAATTTGTAATATTCATCACTCCAAGATTATTCATTACCTCATAGTCCTTCGTTATTTTAATAAAGTAGTTGTTTTTTTACCTAAGTGTTGCAAGTTTTTCGACTAAATGTAAGGTGTATTCAGGGGCTATTATGAATTTTCGCCCCCGAAAAGTCCTTTTTCAAATAAGTTTAGGGCGTATTCGGCTCTAACTCCCAACCTACGAGTCCGAATTACGTTCCGTCAGATCTCACAAGTCCTATTTGTCATGGCGAAGCTATCCGTGTGAGCCACACGGTCGTTCGAAGGCTGTTTTGAATTTTCGCCGCAGAAAGCCCTTTGTCATGGCAAAGGTATCCGTGTGAGCCACACGATCGTGCACATGCATGTTGCTAGTTTAAGAGAAATTTGCACAATTGTATTACCCAAATATATAAAATAGACATTAAGGTGCCGTTTGGTAGCACTTACGTTTTCAGTTTTCAGTTTATATTTACAAAAATTTTAAAAACTCAAATAAAAACTTGTTTGGTAAATTTTTGATTTATAAATCAGTGATATCAGTTTATAAATTTGGCCAAAAAATGTAAATTCAAAAAATGTGTTTTTGTTTTGAGTTTTGAGTTTTTTTTTTTTTTACCACCCAACACTAGCCACCACCCGCGACCATTTTCCACCACCGTCTTCCGCCACCACCACCCGCCCCCCACCACCACCTGTCACCACTACTCACCACCCACCTGCTACCACCACCATCCCACTTGCCACCCACACACCTACACCAGCCCACCACCCACCACGGTAGTGCACTATCTCAGCACTACCCCTCTGCCGCCCCTCCAGCGCGTTCCGGCCACCACCTACCACACGTCCCGACATGCTGCTATCCCACCCGTCACTA